AATACTTTTTGGGGTGTTCTTGGCACAAACTGCAGTGTGGCAGGAAGCCACTGTTGTACAGCTTGTGTTCCAAACTGTCTGGGTGCTGCTCAGTGAACTCCCACGTGTTTCCAGTGGTTTTGGGTTCCTTCCTTTAATTTTGGTTTCCATCTATTCTCTAGAGGTGAGGAAATCCACCAACCCCCTCGCTGCCCAAATACTTGCTCTGCCAAATCTTAAATTCTTATGTTCCACTTGGGTATTTTTTTCCTTCTTCCCTGGTGTCTCACCAGTTCTTGTGAAATTTGGAAACTGAAGGGAAGTTTCATTGTGAAATTAAAACTGATAATTATGAAATTAAAGGCAGATTAGCAGATCTGTTAGGAAGAGTGTGGGTAGAGATCTTGTCTTTATCAAATATGTTGCTGAAGATTTACCTCACAGGCTGATTTCTACCTTTACCATTTCCAGACAACTCTACTTCTAACAGTGTTTTTCTTAATTCTATTTCTCTCTCCTCCTCCCCATCTCCAGAGGACTGTGTGTCCTTGTGTCTTTGGCTCCAGTTGTCTTGCATGGCAATTTGATCTTCCAAATGCATAGTTTTTTTATGACTAAAAGCAAGGATTTTGAGTTATACCTCATGGCCTTAGCCTGGAGGCCAGCTCCTTGTTGCTAGCATTAGTGTATGGTTGACTTTTTCAGCTTCATGTTGTATTTCATGCACTTAGTGTTAAAAACCTTCCTTCAGCCTGTTTTTAGCTTTCTCCATTCGTGTAACTGTGGTTGACATTAAAAATATGCCCAATGCTTCCTTTGCATCAGTTAAGAACGCTTTGACAAGGATTTTCTAATGCTGGGAAAGCGTTTTTGAAATGCTGTAACTTCTGCTTAAACCTCAGTGTGTCCCTCTCAGGCTCTGATTACAGGGCTCTAAATGTTTTATATTAACTGTTAAAAGGCACTCTTAGAGCCTCTTAGAGAAACCCTCTCTTTCTGTGCAAAAATCCAAGATGGTAGTTCCTTTAAAACAAAGGGATGTGTGCTCTGATAACATAAGCTGTATAATAATGAAATGAAGAAGCAAACTTAGTGTAATTCATTTTCCCATTCATTCATGGATTGAAAGGAAAACGAACCATTTTGGCAAAAAACAAAAGCTAATTCCTTTTTCTCACTTGGGGTTCTGTAAGCTTTAAATATTCAACATTTTTAAGCATAATGTGACTTTCTCATGTTAGACTCATCTTCCTTCCAATCCTTTGAGCAGTTTGCATGCTTGTCCAGCTTTCAAAACTAACAACTCTCGCCCTGCTCAAAGGTCTCAAAGGATTCCAGGGAAAAATTTATTTTAATGTTTCATCTCTATCACTCCTTGACAGAAAAAGTGAACTTTTAGCCATTACCAAAACTGCAGAGGATAGCCTAAAATTTAATACATACAACAGGAATGAGAGAACCTCGGTATTTGCCCTGGCTTGGGAAAAAGAGGTTCTGACATTGAGTGACATAAACCTATTTTTTTAATGGCTACAATTTGTAACTGTTCTGCCTGGGAAAATTGCACCACTCTGACTTGGTAGTTAGAACAGTAACTAAGCCAAAGGAGATGGGCATAAGAGTTTTGGGGAATGAATACATTTGAAATTACATGCCTAATGTAGCAGTGAGGAATTTCTAAGAGCTGGAATTACCTGGAACACCATCTCTGAAAGTGTAATCTTTGTTCACTAACTTCTTTTTGAGCCTCAAGATCTCTTGGGGCTTTTGTTTCCAGTTTGGTTACAGACAAAATTGGTACCAACACAAAAAAGTGTAGAAAAGATTTATTGTAAACAAAAGAATTTTGTGCAAACAGTGAAGAAAAAGGCTTGTTTTTTTAAAAATGCCACGAATTTGTAACACATAAAAACTCTCCAAATCTACTCAGTCCACAAATAGCCCAACCAAGTTGTGCCATTGGGTTTGATTTTCCTTGCAGAAAGGAGCTCCAGCCTCTCGGGTTTAATGCTGGCTCTTGAGCAAGACCTACGTTTTTGATAGCTCCTCCAGCCGGTGGAACTCGCTGCGGCGGAAGCGAGCGGCCAGCGCGTTCACCATCCTCTTCAGCGCGAAAAACGCCACCGCCGCCTGGAAGGACAGGAAGGCGGCGAAGATGATGTGGAAGGCTCGCTCCAGAGAGTGGATCTTCAGACCTTCGTTAAACAGCAAGAAGAGAATTATAGGCAGCTGCGGGAGGAGAGTCAGGAGCCAAAAGCCAGCCAGCTCAGGGACCTAAAACAGGGAGACATCACCTATTAAAAACCTGACAGCCAGGATGAAAAAATCCAAAATCTTGTAAAGACAACACAATTCTTATTAATTTTTCAAAAGCCAGCACGTAATGTGGAAAGACAAAGTGAGGTGGCTTCATATTTCCATATTCTGAGTTTTAAAGTGTACTTATATTTTCTGACAAAACAATTTTAGAGAGTGAGAGAGCTCTCTTCTGAGGGAAAACTACTTGAAATTCACAAAATTAAATGGAAGCCAATGCCAATGGAACAGAAGATGCAGAGTGCAACTGAAAAGAAATAACCATGTCCTCAACTTAAAATCTCTTAAATAAAATGCCTGCCACTTAATGCTCAACTCCCAAAAGCAGAAATTGCAGAAATTATGGTGTATATCTGGTAACTTACTTTCTCCAGGAGATTGCCCACATATCCCAGGTAGAGTCGAATGAGCTCTGTCAGAGAGACCAGGATCATGATGGTGACCAGGATGAACTTGTAATAATCTGATAAGGCTGGATACTGGAGAGGAAGAAGAAAGTGGAAGTTTCTGCATTGCTGTCTGTGGTTAAACGCTAGTGGCATTCAAACACTCCTGAACCTCCAGTTTCCATGAATTCCCAAATCAGTGTAAAAACCTCTAACTCCAGTGTCTGATGTAACATACATTTACAAACCAGCACTTTCCTTCCTTCTCACCTTCATGTAGAGGACGGCAACTGTGATGAGCCACCAGAGCGGGAAGAAATAAACATTGAAATAGAGGGACATCTGCAGTGGCAGGCTGGAAAGGATTTCACAATCTGTACAGAGAGAAAGAAGATTTTATCACTCCAGCTATAAAAGTGACAGGATACTGCTCCATCCTAGCTTCATGCAGGGCAGTAATTTGACTCTTCCCAGTCAAATTAAATATTAAGAACAATATTTTTCTTTATCCAGAGGAAATCTTCACACCCTATCTGGAGTTACATGATTTCCTGGAATCCAAGGCACCTTTTGGGTCCTGGGACAGAGCATTTTATAATTTACTTATATATGCAAGCTGTGTCCAATTGTTGATTACCTGGGCCTTTTAGCTTACTCCACTATCTCTGACTGAGGCTTATTTCAAGAGAGCTGCTGGAGAGCAAGCTTGCAGGCCCACTCTTAATTTTCAACCTTTTATTTAAACAGACACTTGGATGGAAGCCAGTAATTTGTCTGATTCTTACGAGGTAAGAGTTTCAAATATGTGTCAAACTAAAGCTTATCCTTTCAGGTCTGTAGAGAACAAGATGCATCACACAACACAATGTAGAGAAAACCAAGTCTCAAACTGCAACATGTGGACAGTAAATTCTGTAGTTACGACTTTATAATAGACGTACAAGGTCAGATTTAAGGAAAAAATTACTTAAAAGCAGAGAAACCAAGAGTCAAAATTTCAATTGTGATCACAACATTTAGGTACGTTAATGATTTCCTTGACAAGGCATTGCTATTTATAAATTCTATGCAAGTTCTAGAGCTGTGTTTGGATGAACAATATAAGCAATATAGGCCAATTCTAATTAATTTTTCTATCCCTAAATTAAATCAACGCTTACTTGCTGGGATTGCTAAAATTAATGCAAAAGCCCGACAGTATTGCAATATGGCCGTTGCTACAGCAACCCCCCAGGACCCGTTTGTGTACAACGGCATTTCTGCAATGCCGATGTGCAGCGATTCTCGTTTGGCTAGCCGAGCCCCGAAGGAAAGGCTGCGGGGCGCGGTACCTGCGCGGGGGCCCGGCGGGGCGCGGGGCCCGGCGCCGAGCGGCGCGGAGCTGCCGAGGGCCGCGAGCCGCCGCCGCAGCGCCGCGGGCAGCCCCGGCAGCCCCGCCACGGGCCCGGGCAGCCCCGCCACGGGCTCGGGCGGCCCCGCCGTGGGCCCGCGCCGAGCCGTGGGCCCGCCCGGCCCCGCCACGGGCCCGCGCCGAGCCGTGGGCCCGGGCAGCCCCGCCGTGGGCCCGGGCAGCCGCGCCGTGGGCCCGGGCGGCCCCGCCGTGGGCCCGGGCAGCCCCGCCGTGGGCCCGGGCCGCCGCGCCGTGGGCTCACGCCGAGCCGTGGGCCCGCCCGGCCCCGCCACGGGCTCGCCCGGCCCCGCCCTGGGCCCGCCCGGCCCCGCCGTGGGCCCGCACCGAGCCGTGGGCCCGCACCGAGCCGTGGGCCCGCGCCGAGCCGTGGGCCCGCCCGGCCGCGCCATGGGCCCGGGCAGCCCCGCCACGGGCCCGCGCCGAGCCGTGGGCCCGGGCAGCCCCGCCGTGGGCCCGCGCCGAGCCGCGGCCCCGCCCGGCCCCGCCGTGGGCCCGCGCCGAGCCGCCGGAACGGGCGGCGCAGCGGAGCGCCCGCCCCGCGCCCCGTTCGTTTCCTTCTGCTCTGCGCTTTGCTGGGAGTGGCGGCCCCAGGAAAGCTGCTGCGGAATTCTCCCCCATTGATCCAGCTTTTCCATCTGGATAAATCCTACAGCTTGATGGTCCTCCATGACGGGGGGACTGAAAGAATGGTGGATATTCTGTGTTGCCACTGAAAATGAGTATGAACGACTCATTTTATGAGGGATGCGGGTGTAACTGAGCTAGAAAATACCTTTTCCTCAGGGAAATCTGTGTGTGCTACTCTGTAGTTAAAAGCTGTCGTTTTACCAACGCAGCCTAGCCCAGTCAGCTTTGTCCCTTACTGGGGTTTCATGGAATCAGAATAAGTTAATAATAGACACCAAACTGCTTGTGCTTCTTTTATTTGGAAAATATAGGTCCTCTAGAAACGCGGTAGTCTGTTCTTCAGGTTTTTCAATCACCTTAGGGCCTGATTCCTGCAAGGAAAAAAAGGATGCCATTCTTAGGCATGCAGGAAATTATTTTCTTCACAACCAGAATGAAAGAGAGCAGCTTGTGCCTTTTACTATGAGAAATTTTCTGCACCCAATGTGGCACAGGATGGTCCGGGGGGAAGGGAACTTAAAGACCCCAGTGTTTCAAGCCCCCTGCCATGGGCATGCCAGCTCTCTTCTGCTCCCCCACCCCAAATCATGTTCAGCTTCTTCCAGGGCTGATCATGCTCCAGTATGACTTTCTGAACTCAATTATCTCCAACTAAATAATTTAAAGCCTAATTTAAATTTAATTTCATTCTATCCCACTGAGAGGACCCCAGAGAAAGATGGCTAAACAAGGAGGAGTTCTGAGGAATCCATTTGGCTTTTGAGCTGATGAATGGTGTGGTATTAACAAGAGATACTTTCCTAAGGACTTCTCCAAACATGGGTATGCCAGCAGGAGTCTGCATTAAAAAACAACTGAAATTATAGAAGAGTTTAAGGATCATTTTTATATTTGAGGAAAATTTATGAAAGCCAGAATTAATGTTTGGGTTTCTGAATTTTAAAAAGTGCAGTCTGTATCAGTTATCGTGGCAATTGCCAGTAGGTGATAGAAATTATTTCCTTTCAGGTTCACCAACTGTAATGGTGACTTTTGCACTCTTTAGCCAATATGTTCATAACGTCCTCTGCTACAGACAGGGGCAAGGTGAGGAGTATGTATGAGATTTTCAATGAGATTGGCAGAAATTTTGTTTTACTGCTGTCGCCTTGGTCCTGACCTGATTAACCACTCTTCAAGATAGGGAGACTCTCATCCCATACTCTCAACTACTTAGACACAAGGTTTATATGAATCAAAAGTATGGCAGAGTTTTGATTAAATCAGATATTCATGGAAGTCTCAAGCTTTTTTTCCATGGTATAAGTTGGTGGCATGTAAAACTTCAGCCTTTAAGGATTTTCCTTTTGATTACATTTTCTGAATGAAAGATGGAAGAATTTTTCCTGAACTACACAATGTTATGCCAGTGGCTTTGAGTGGGGACCTTGATCTTCCTAATACTGCTTGTCTATGTTCCCCAGTTCTGAAAACCTTCAAGCATGCAGCCAGGTGTCCTGCCAGCAGCTCTGCAGCAGCCAATGGTGCTTTGCAGAATTGGGCTCTGCCCTTGTGAAAACTGAAGCAATCCAGTTTAGCAGCCAAGAAGGTATAAAACTGAGGAGTAGGAAAAGGAAAGGCTGATGGCATGCAGACACCACAAGAAATGTATGGATTTGCCATGTAGGCTCAGCTCCCAGACTCAAGGTGTGACTCTGTGGTATTTGGCAGCCTTCCATTTTCAACAGATGGCCCAACATCCTACATGCCCCCACAAAATAAAGTTGTGCACACTTTTGTTTGATATTTTTGTCTGTGCAGACACTTAAAATATTCCCTGAAGAGAAAATCTTAGTTTTTAGTAATTCGGTTTGATTTTTGTTAGACTGCAGCCTCCTATTTTAAAAAATTTATCTTTCAGCACTTTAATGATCAGAATTCTTTTGTTTTTCTGTAGGGAGGGATGGAGAGTATTCTTTCAAGTGGAAGAAAACATTAAAATTTGAAGGGTCAGAATACCTGGGGCAACTCTATTGACACATCAGAGCTTTCTGTAACAGAAGGGCAAGAATCCATGCCATAAGGAATGGGAGAAGGAAAAACACTTAACTGTTACATGGCTGTAACAGAGACCATGGCCATCTGCATAAATAGTGTCACATTTCCAGCCTTTGTGACAAAACTCTGTCTGGCCTTTTCTTAATGGAGAGGCATTCACCGACTGAATCTCTGTCCATCCACAAATGGATGTTTACGTAGAAATAACCAGATTTCCAGTTCTCTGTGCTTCAAAATAAGATACTGAAATATGAGACTGGAGGAAATAGGCTCACAGTGGCACAGCATTTTAAATGACTGGTTTATTTCTCTCCACACGTGCTAGCTATAAATAAAACAAAAGGCTGAAAAATCCGCCTGAAAGCTTTAAATCAGAGAAATATTGCATCTTTGTGTATCCACAGCAGTCCAACTGACTTGGTAGACACTGGCCTGGCTCCCAGACCAAAGCTCCTGGGGGCTCTCTGGCAACAGCACAAAGTCATAAACCCCAGATGCAATATATCTATCGAAATGAAACATCAGCAGTTTTGCACAATTGGCATTTCAGCAATGCAAGGTTCATTTAACTGGTTCCAGTGGTTTACCTTTGCACCTGAATCACAACTTCTGTATTTCTGAAGCTGTTGGTGTGGAATCTCACAAAAGCTATTTTCCTTGGTGTGTCTGTGCTGTTGTCCCCTGATATGTGTGAGCAACAGAAATTCCTCTCCTCCTTGCTTGCTCCCTGATACCTGCCTGGTATTTTAGCAGAAATGCTGGAAAAGATGTGAAAAATGCTGCTGAGCCAAGCTGTGTGCAGGCAGGCAGAGTACAGGCTTGTTTCCTCCTCATGTCCTCAGAGTGAAGTGGCAGATTGGGAGTTTTAACAAATTACAAATGCCACAAAGACTCTAATGTGTGTGATTGAAAGGATGATGTTGTTAGCTGTGCCAGTGTCTGCCAGAGGAATTTCACAGTTGTGCTTCTGCCTTGTGAACACCAGGACAGTGGTTTTTTCCTCTGTGTCACTTGTGCAGGTTTTCATTTCACACCTATGGGATATTTGTGTCTGGTAAAGAATTATTGTTGCTGATGAGACTTAGCCCAGGCCCTTTTGTCAAGTATTATCAAGTACATATCACTGCAGGGATTCCATGCATTTAATCTATATATTGGCTATTTTAGTCTTGAGCATAAAGAGCAGGGAATAATAAGAAAAAAGAAGAAGAAGAAAGGGCTGTTAGTTGCTCCTGCACATTGAATTTCTTCTTGCTGTAATTGGCATTTAGTTAGAGCCACTCCCTAGCTTGTTTTATTTTGTTGATTCATAGTTTTGTCAAGCATGCAGGGAGAGTCTGAAAGCTGGCATGGCTATTAAACAAGTTTTACTGTTTGTGTTGCAAAAGTGTTCAAGATTTTCATGGTACATCAGAAGGTTACTGAGAGTAGATGGATTTTGAGCCAGGTTCTCACTAAAGATCCTTGATGGGGCTTCAGCCTTGGTCTCATCTTTGCATAGATAGGCAAGCTGATCTTTCATGCAGTAATTTTAACTGCCTAAGTATTATTTGTACCCAAACTAGTTAGGCTTCACCTCTTCCCTCCTGGTGGGCTCCCCCAGAAGGCTGTTCATGGGAAGGAGCAATGTGCTTGCTGATTGTGTCTGTCCTTCTCTACTGATTACCAGTTGTTTTGCTAAATCAAGGTGCACAGAAGGTTTAAAATTTGAATATTTACAGGGATGTAGGCTCTCCCAAGTGTGCTTTGTGGGTCTGAGCTCCTCCAGATGGTCAGGCTTTTTGTGTTCCCTGGGTACCACACAGATGCTTCACCTGCAGTCTGTGTAACTCTTGCAAAAAGGCTTCCTGGGACATGGACCCTGGCAGTTCCAGTGCTTTCTCTCTTTATTGCAGAATCCAAAGATGGCTGGGTATTTAAAAATTTACCTCCAATCTGTATCAGCTGTGCAAAGGCAGGATTGATTTTGCTGATGCACACTGCTGTCAGGTGCTTCTAACAGTGGTTTTGTATCCTCTGCAATCAGCTCAAGCCTGAATCCTGAATGAGTGATGGAAGATAACATTTGTAATTTGATCATTCAAGGAAAAAAAAGCCACAAGGCAGAGAGGACTCTGTTTAGTTAACAAACTGATCTCAGGGTTAAGGCTCTTTTTTTAGTCTTTATTTTTCTATTTGGACAGTTACATAAATGCCTATTTTCAACAGTATGAGTATGCCACAGCTTCTGTGGAATTTAAATGGGAGTGGCAGTAGCACTCTAAATTGAGGTTAGATATTTGGATTCTTTGATATGTCTAAATTTGGATTTCTGCATAAGAACAATCTCTCTGTCTGCTTTGAAGTTTTGCTGAATGCAAAGGTAAGTATGAATGTGAGAGTGGTGTGTTCTCAGGTCAGCACCACTTTGCTTTTTTGTGTTTCCTTTGTTCTTTTCACCCAGGCCAGCTTCATCCTTGTGAGAGTGAGAGCTTGTAAGAATGACTGGGAATCCCACAAGTCTCACTGCCTAAGAACAGCAGAGTTCTAGTTCAGGTCCTTCAGCTTCCAACAGCATGGGTTATGCTTTTGGGGATGTTAGTTCAACACCACTGCAACCTACAGTATCACTCTGTTGTGATGTGGGTTTGGCTCCCTACTTGCTTTTATTCCATAATCTGTTGACTTTAGGCTCTTTGCTGTGTTTCCAGACAAAACAAACTTGGCTCAAGTTCTCATCAAGTAGTAAGGGGAAAGAGTGTAGTGACCCTCAGAAACGCCAAAGAGCTCTTAATTATTTTTTTATTACATTTTCTATTGTTTGAAGCAGGGCCTTGTTATTTGTGGGTATGTGCTGGCTACTTGTGCCATTAGACCCAAGTCTCAGCTGTTATAGTTGCTGTCATAGTACAAAGGATAATTTTAAACTTTCCAGCCTGCTGTTTTTGAAATGTAAAATTTCTATATTTCTTCTGTAGATGAAATTCCTCATGGAACCAGAATCTATAAAGTGGTGCTTAAGACTGGAGAAAGTCTAGAGGAATTCTTACTATAAAGATATTGCTTAAAATCAAGGAATTCCTTTCCTGCATGCTGAATTGTTCCCATTCATAGTGGAGTGCAGGACTGGATGATCATATCTAGCTTGCAGCCTTGTCCTCTTTCTCCCTGAAAGGCTTTATTACAGAACTCAATTAAGAGCAAATTTCCCCTCAAACTCTGTCTTATAAGGTCATGCCTGCCTTTATGAAATATTGAATCTGCAGCTGCAGGATTTATTACAACAGTATTTTAAAACACATGATGCTGGTGCAGCAGCTCTAATTAGAAATGCCCTGAGCTCACTGTGCTCCCT